AGGTGCTGGAGAAACGTTAGGAAACAAAACTTCAAGAACACAGCCACACAGCCCGGAAGACCCACACCAGCCATCGTATGCCGGCCGTGAAAGCCTTCGACAATACATAACAGAGTATCTTTCAAATTTATGGTCAAGTTCAAAAAATACTCTGTTGTCATTTATAAAGTATGTTCACTTATTACTGTAAATGCCAATCATGACTTCCCATAAATGCCAAATCCTGTGCCTCTTTACCACTGCCCAGTATATAGGTCACCATGCCCAGACACTTGAGATGCTCTAATACAGTGTTTTTCAAACTTGGCAACTTTAAGATGTGTGGACTTCAATTCCCAAAATTCCCCATTAGTTGTGAAAACACTGCTGTAATAGAAGCCCCAGTAAACTTTCTAGTCTGAGACTGCATAAAGAAGGAGAAGCACTATAGGACTGTATCAGCAGAAAAATCTGGTCCAAATATCATGCCCACTTTGTTCTATGTGACTTGGACAAGACCCTAATATATGGGCATGGCATTTATTATATTTCAGGGGGTTCAGCTGAAAAAAATTGTCCTGTGTCTACCAAATGGTTTTCTGGTATTGGATTCACAGCTATTGCAAGTCAAGGAGACATATTTCATATCCATAAGACTGCTTTTTTCCACTAAGGAATATCTAGCAGTATCTCCAGTTCAGACCCCCAACACTTCTAAGGTCATGTCTAACACAGCCATTTGAGAATGATTGTAGTGCATGAAAGAATTCAGGCAATCTAGAAATGTTGGGGGCTACCTGACCTCAGACCTCAGTAGATTACTTGGAAACCTGAACTCTGTCCCAATTCCCTCAATGTGCCAAATGAAAGTCACATATGAGTGGTCAGAATTCCACTCCCCCCCCCCTTTCCCCCCCTATATAACAGTGCATTCAAGTCTCACGCAGGAACTTCTGAATGGAGCTTTGCTTTCCTGCTACCGATGGCATTTTTCCCACTACACTTGTTGAGAAGGAAAATCAGGGATTGTTATTTAACAACCAGTTGACATTAAAAGCATAATAAAGAAAATCAACCTGATTTATAGCTTGGGAAAACTTCCAGTGGAGTTTCCAGCTATTCATTCAAATGGGTTCTGTGTTAAAATGGCTTAGGACATTGGCTGTATCCCCAGAAACTGATTTGGAGCAGAAACCTAGGCTGTCAGCTAGAGGTTTTCACCTGTGCTTCCAGCTACATTAAACCTGAATACTTGCAAATGAACACACACACATACATTTCATTAACTAGTGGGCTTTTCCAAGAGAATTAAACCAGGGAAAAGGATGCACCCCTTAAAATTAATGTCAGCTGGCCTTATATTCAACATAGCACATGATGCAATTGACCTCAAAGCAATACTGCTTGAGTTATTAGGTAAGTTGATTGACAGTTCCATATTTACAAGCAGAAAGTGGCCAAAATTACTGTAGCTGGAGGATCCAAATGGACTTGGGTTATTGTCCATATTGCTACATTATACAGAGTAAACAAACCATATATCAAGAGGAGAAAAGGTTAATCTTGGCAACTGGGGTCATGCTCTGGATTTAAGTAATGGGCTACCCAGGTTGATGCTTGAATGGTTTTTAAGTCATGGAGAATGGAAAATATATTATGAATTATCTCCAGAGTTATTAAAATTCAAGCACTGGATTGATTGTGATACGTGCACAAGAACGTATAACTGAAATGAATCATTTGGACAGCAGAGAATGACAACTCTGTGCACCAGCTCTGGCCAAAGGAGAAGCGTTAAGTCAGTTTTGTGAACACTGAGCCACAATGCTGTCAAAAGGTCCAAGGTCTATTTCCAGCCCCATTGAGAGGTATTGATTCTGTTGTAACATTAAGATGGAGTTGCAAGATTTCCAAGCTTGTTGTTTTAAAAGCATTTTTCTTTCCTATTCTTTTTCTTTCCAGTCTATTAATCTGAACATCATGAACAGTCATTAGCTATGTTTAATCTCATTAATTGTCAACCTCAGCCTGATTTAGCATGCTAGGTTGCAGAAAAGAATTTGCAAGGGGTGGATATAAATGGCACTGCAAAAGGAAATGAAATGGAAGAGGATTGAATTAATATAATTTTGGAGGAAAACACCCCAAAGGTGGTAAGCTTGACCCCTGCCATCAAATCTTATCACACATTTCCAGAGAATCACAGAAGGGCCTTCCTTGCTAAGTGTTCCCTTTGCAGACTACTGATTTGTAAAAATCCACTTTGAAACTGTTCCATAAATAGTCAAGTTTAAAACAAAAACACTGGTTGAACACACTGGGGAAGCTATGATGTCTTGGAGCAAGAGAACTGTCATGAATTAAATGGGGTATGTAAAAGTTGATGTGGCTTTCCAAATTACATAATTAACAAAAGGAACTGACTCAGGAAAACACACAAAAGTTAAAAAATATACAAAAGAAAAATTATACAAAAGGAGCTGCAGCCAGACAAAAGGACTCCATACTGCTTCATAAAGGGACTCGTTTCTTTTCTGAAAAAGGGCAATTCATTTTTACTGGGTGAAGTTGTAGTTCCCACATATTGCTGCCCAGGTATTTGACGTCATTTGACTGCTTTCTCTGTCACTTCATAATCAGAGAGAGTTGTTTTTTTTTAAATCAACGTTGCTGTTGTTTTTTTTAATCAAAGTTGGATATTCACAGCTATTGCAAGATGATTAAATAGCAGCTGGGCTGGTTAATGGACCTGAAACTGAAATTAGAAGCTGCTTCACGGGGGTAAAATTGAATGGATGGCCGGTAATTAAGCAACTCTTATACAAACTCAAGAGACATTAAAACTTGGATGGGAGGTAGAGATGGACAATGCAGGAAAGGAATTGCCTGTAATGAATAGGGAAACACAATCTCTCAACTTTGGAAAGGGTGATCTTCAATTTGCACTGTTGGAAATGTAACAGGGGGTCCTTAAAAATCAGTACCTCCATTTCTTTGAAAAAGAAATAAATTGCTGTGGAGTTCTTGGAGCTCTCTGAGCTTGGTTGTTGGCCTGCAGACATTTCATTACCCAACTAGGTAACATCATCAGTGCCAGTGAGTATGGGTTTGCTGCCTGTTTATATGCAGTAGCTTGCCCTTCCAGTTTTGGTGGGGGTGTGGTTTCCTCCTTCTCTTCTATTGAAATAATTGGCGACCATGTCTGCCCTTCAAGGTAGTCCAGGCTGGAAACCAAAACCATGAGTACTAACACTGCCTTTATTGTAAGGTTACAGTAACAGAATCTTGCAAGTCTGAAAGTGCTTCCCCCCTCCCCTGCCTTTACTTTCCAGAGAACTAGGGAGGGTTGCTTCTGAGATGCTTCCCACACCCCCATTCCTTCTGTGGGCTGAGATATCTCTTGTCTGACCGTCGCCTAGTCTGTGGTTCCTCGTCCTCCTATCTCCCAAGGTTCTTCTCACAGACAATTCAACCACAACAGCTCTTTCCATGGAACACATAACTGTGTCCCATGCAAGTCCTGGGGGCATTCGGCTCTAACTCTATGCCATAAGTAGACTTAGACTGGCTTTTCACACTGCATTATGCCCAAGTTTGCTTCACTGTGATATATTAAATAACCCACATTTGGGGGCATTTCTACAACCTGCTATGCCACAAACCATGGCTGGGTTCATGCACTTCTGTTTATGGCCTAGCAGGTTGTGTGGAATCAACCCGTTATGTTTGCTTTTAATAAACTGTGGTTAACCATGCCAATGTGTAGCTTGTATGTGTGAATCCAGCCTGTATCTTTGCAAAAGGTTTGACATAAAGGTGCCGTTGCAGGAATACATGAGGCATGTTTAAAACAAAATAAATCAAAACAAAAGCAACATCCAGACTAAGAGGGTGCTTCTATGATGCTATGCCTATTCCTAGGTATCAGTTTCCCTGAATCTTAGCGAAGCTGCCATATTCCAGGAACTGAGCAACAAAGCCAGAATCCAGGGTAAGTCTTATCAGAAATGCTAGGAGCAAAAAGGCTTTTGTAAGATTTGACTTGGTCTGTAACAACCTTCCCAAATCTGTTTTCCTCAACTACATTTGCATGTAATCAAGATGTGTTTTCATATTATTAAGAAAAAAAAAATCTTCTCAACTTGTTTTAGATTTTTGCTCATGACTTCTCCATTGGAATTTACATACCTTGTGTCTGCTTCACTATTACTTATTTCTAATATTCTTCCTAGATGCTACCTCAAAGCTAGAATGCTTCCAATGACAGTTTTTTGTATTGTTAGCAGCTTTTAAAGATTCACAGTCATAGCAAGCTGACTTACAATGGGTCACTTTTTCAGTCCAGCTAGTACTACTTTAGTTGCACTGACTTCCAGGAGATTTCTAAGATTTTTGGGGTGGAATTTTTTTCTGGACATGTAGGGAACTGAATTGGAATCCTCTGCAGAGTCTTACATTCTGGCCATTGAATCAGAGCCTTCTCTCTGTGTGAGCGTAATCAGAAGTGTAGTGATCGTGTGAAAAAATAATTAGCTTGACAGCAGTGGCCTGATATTGAAAAACCCATACCCTGCAGAAAGATGTTCCTGCCTTTTGATCTATCTGTACTCTTTCAATTACATGAAAGAAAATAAACTTTTGAGATTTCTTTCAAAGGAGAAGAGAATTTCTGATCAAGTCTCATGAGTGAAGTAGGATGTTCTTGCATTTATTTAGCAATAGAGTGGTCAGGGGATTCTATAACTGTCCTTTCTTTCATCATGCAATCTTCTCTTTGTTGGTTTACAGCAGTGTTTCTCAACCTTGGCAACTTTAAGACGTGTGGACTTCAACTCCCAGAATTCTCCAGCCAGCATGAGAAGTGCATGGCCCGGGAATTCTGGGGGGTGAAGTCCACCCGTCTTAAAGTTGCCAAGGGGGAGAAAAACTGCTGTAAACCAACAAAGAGAAGATTGCATGATGAAAGAAAGGACAGTTATAGAATCCCCTGACCACTCTATTGCTAAATAAATGCAAGAACATCCTACTTCACTCATGAGACTTGATCAGAAATTCTCTTCTCCTTTGAAAGAAATC